AATGCACATACACACTTCATTAGCCTTCAGAGCAATGAGGTCATCCACAGTTTCTGGAAAATTCCATCGACTGCTTGTGGGAGAATAAGAGTGAAAAAGGGTAAAGAATGTCTTAATATTATTATGAAAATGATGTGGACTTTGCAGACCCCGGAATCCCTGAACTCCACTTGAGAACTCTTCTTTTACAAACCATAATACTTTTGTCGCACCTAACAAAATTCATAATAATTCTATTATAGCACTGAGCATCTAGCCGATGCTCAGATTTCTCCAGTGGTCCCTGGAATTGTGTTTCCATTTGCTTTTGGGGGGAAGCAGGACCCAATCAAGGGAAGCACAGGGCATTTGGTTGTAAGGTCTATTTAGTTTGTTGTCGTCTGCAAGTTTCCCTCTCTTCTACTGACTTTGGAAGCTTCCAGGCTTGTTTGTAGAAAATCTCATGTTCTTGATGTAGCTGATTATTTTCCTTGTGATGTTGTTGAACTTGTTCTTAAACCTCATTTATCACTGGAGGTAGATTGTCAGATATTTTTAATATTGTTTAATAATACTACGCCCCACTACATTCCACCTCACATTACAGTGTTGTTGTTAAGTGCCGTTGGTCTGAGTCGGTTCCAACTCATAGTAACCCTGCATCAAGTTTCTGAGGCTTTAAATGTTCACTGGAGCAGGAAGTCTCATTTTTTCCCCAAGGAGCAGTTGGTGGGCTCGAACCGTGGACCTTGTGGTTTGTGCAGCCCAGTGTTTATCGTGTGGAGCCGCCCCTGCCAATTCCACTCCACTCCACTCCATTCTGCATTGTTCTTTTGGTTCTGGCTTATTTTGTTCATCATTATATCTGTGGGATTCATCCAGGATGACGGGATGATCTGTAACTGCTCATCACGTAAACATAGGTCAATTTATGTGTCCATTCTAAATTTGGAAACTTTCGAATTGCACAAAAAGGATGATAAAGCACCGATATAGAAATCATCTAGATTCGCCAATTACTGACGTTGTGCACAGTGGTACGTTTGCTTGTTCCCTCTCTCTCATTGAAATGGAACCGATTCCAACTCATAGCCACTGGGTAACACTGAGTCAAACTGCCCCAGGGGGCTTCCAAGGGCATCCTGGTGTGGCGTTGCAGGATAAGCACTGGATCACAAGACCAGTTTGAACTGCAAGGTGCGTGGTCCCAACTCACCCACCGTTCCCCAGAAACCCTACATAGGGTCGCTATGAGTCGAAACCGACTCAACTGTCCTTAACAACAATCACAAATCTTTATGAAAGGACACTCTCACATCCATTGCGGCTACTACAAATACTGCGGCTAGGAACATTCTAGTATGTAACTTGGCCAATGTCCACATGCAATTCTTCTGAGTATCTATAAGGAGTGAGTCACAGGGTATGTGTGGATCTAGTTATAGTTTTAAATTTACTTTCCAAATCCATCATAGTGCATGAGAGATACAGTTGTTCCGCATCCTCAACTGTAACTGTACTGGTGAGTTTTTACTCCTTTTTGCGGGGACAGGGGTTGGGTAGGATGAGAAGGAGTCAGTTAGGGTAAGAACTATGGTTAGGTCTGGGCGAGGCCTAGGGCTTTGTTTAGTGTTAGGGTTATGGTTGGGACGAGGGTTCGTTTAGTGTTAGGAGTAAAGGTTGGGTTTGGGCTCTAAGTAATACCTGGTCTAGTTTTAGGATTACAGTTTGTTTTATTTTTATGTATTTATTTATTCTTGAAATCTACTTGATTGCCTCTTCATCTGGGATTTCTGCACCTATATGATTCCCTCTTTTTACTTTGTGGTTTTTAATTTAAATGTTTAAATTGTTTGGTTGTTGTTGCAAATTGGTACATCTGGTTCCCTATTTTCAGCCTTGTAAGTCAGTTTGACTAGGAATACTTCCATAGCTGGCTGTAGTTCTTGATGATAGTACCATGGATGTGAATTTCAGGTTCTTGTCTGTTGTTGCTGGTTTCCTGTCAAAAGAATCCCCTTCAGCATTATTTGAAGATTGGTTTTTCTTGTTGTTTTGTGTTTTACAAATTCTTTAAATTTCTGTTTATTCGGAAATGTCCTAAATTTGCCATCTACCTCTATGCTATAAAGTATACATGTGCAATAAGTTACATATTTTCAATATTCTTCTGAATACACATTTCTAGTTCAAAACACACCCATACTTTTGTTTTTGTTTAAAAAAAAAAAAAAGATCAGAGCAAATGTAAACATATGAAAGAAAAAAATGAAAGATCACACCCCTCTACCATGAATAGGTTAATAATGTTAATGTGGGGTGAAGGGTGGGGATAATTTTCCCTGCAAGATTTTATAGGGTTTGTTATTTCGCTTTGCACTTGAAAAACTTTTTTGGAATACTATGAATGGAGCTCTGGTAGCGTAGTGGTTACGAATCGGGCTGCGAACCTTAAGGTCAGCAGTTCGAAACTACCAGCCGCTCCACGGGAGAAAGATGAGGCTTTCTACTCCCGTAAAGATTTACAGCCTCGGAAACCCTGTACAGGGTCGCTGTGGGTCGGAACCGACTCCACGGCACTTAACAACAACAACATGCAACATTGAAGAATAACAATGAATCTGTGAGACATCTCACAATATGGATGAACCCGGGGAACGTGACGCTGAGTGAAATTAGTCCATCACAAAAGAACAAATATTGTTTGAAATTACTGTTGTAAAAAGTTAAGGTTTTCTTCATAAAAGAAACTTTCTATGATAGTTACCACGGATAGAAGGGAAGGGGGAAGAAAATGCAGATTAATCCCTCCAGCCAAGATTGAAACGTCTAAACTCTGAATAAAACATTTTAAGTATAAGTTTACAGACCAACCAAATCAGTTTTCCATTCAGCCATTCATACCCATTTGATTTCATGTCATTGATTACAGTTTCCAATGTAACATCACTTGTCCCACTTCCTGACTGCGTTTCCTGTTTCCATTCCTCTTTCTTTCCTAAATTTTCTAAAGTTTGTCCTTTGGAAAAATGCTGCCCTTTTGATATCCCAAATGGTTGATTATTCTAAAGATTGCATTGTTGTTGTTGTTAGGTGCCATTGAGTCGGTACCAACTCATAGCGAACTTCTGCACAACAGAAGGAAACACAACTTCACAATCATTGGTACACCTGAGCCCATTGCTGCCACCACTGTGCCAATCCATGTTGTTGGGGGTCTTCCTTTTTACCTCCAACCCTCCACTTTACCAAACACGATGTCCTCCAGGAACTGGCCCCTCCTGATAATATGTCCAAAGGAGCTTTCTAGTTGTACTTCGTCCAACACAGATTGGTGTGTTCATTTGGCAACATAGTACTTCTAATATTTTCCTCCAACACCATAACTCAAATGCATCAATTCTGCTACGGTCTTCCTGCATACTCTCACATTAGAATGTTATTGTCTCCCTTGTAAACCTATTGTTTGGCTCTGGTAGCGTAGTGGTTATGAATCAGGCTGCGAGCCACAAGGTCAGCAGTTGGAAACTACCAGCTGTTCTGCGGGAGAAAGATGAGGCTTTTTGCTCCCATAAAGATTTACAGCCTCAGAAACCCTGTACAGGGTCGCTATGAGTCGGAACTGACTGCACGGCACGTAACAACACCAACAACAATTGTTTGGTTGAAGACCTCATGTGACGCTGTGCAATAAAGCACTGGACCGTTAGGTATGTTTGAACCACAAGGTCGGCGGTTCAAACTCAACACTTGCTCTTTGGAAACCCTATACTGGGGTCACTATGAGACAGAACCTATTTGACGGTGCTTAGGAACAGCAAACAACGACCCTCTAGTTAGTAATTTGCTCTCCCTCCCTCTCCCACGCCTGATAACCATCAAAGAATGTTTCAATTAGTGTGACTATCTTTTCTTGACTTTTTAATAATAATGATCTCATACAATATTTGCTTTGCACTTGTTTTGCATTTTGCACATAGATCTTTTTGAATACTAGATGCTTGGCTACCAATCACTGAGACACCCACTGCAATGGCTTAAAGAATGAAGCGTTTCATCTTCTCCTTTAACAGGAAAAAACTCTGGAAGATGACAGTTGCTGCCTTTGATTCAGTAACATCATTGTGGGATTTTCTTGGCTTTCGCTTCATGGTTACACGGGGGTTGTTGCAGCATATAGAACACTATATATATGTTCACAGTCAGGGGAAGTGAAAAGGAGAGACGACTCTCAGGTTTTATCAGGAGGGGGAAAAACTTCCCCAGAAATCCTTAGGAGACTTTCAATGAGATTTCACTGGACGGAGGACTGTACTAGGGGCCACCCCTGACCAGCCAGGAGGCTGAGTAAGTGTGTGTTTAGGTAGGGAATTGATGCCCGGAACCCAAGTGGGGATTGGGGGTAGTGGAGAGTGGAATAGATAGCTGGAGGTGGGGAGGGTTGGCAACAAGGTCTACGCATGGTATCTTTCCGTAATCAGTAATCAAATAAGCTGGTCAAGGATATTGATTAATGGGACGACAAGATAAGAGGAGAGGAGGGTGTGAACACGGACTAGTCATGTAAGTGCTTGTTAGATCATTGCTGTTGTTAAGTGCTGTTGAGTCGGTTCTGACTCATAGTGACCCAGCATAGGGTTTCCAAGGAGCAGCTGGTGAATTTGAACCGCTAACCTTGTGGTTAGCCATCCACTTCTTATCCTCTAGCAACGTACCAGGACTCCAAAGTGTATATATTCCATTGCAATTTGGGGGCTGTTGTTTTCCTAGTCTTGTGGCTTTATTTATTTTAAATGTAAATCTTTAATCCATTTGGCGTTTACCTTGGTATAAGATATGAACTTAATAACAACACCAATATTCTGAACTTGGGAATCTAACATTATATATATATATTTTAAAAAGGCCTTTTAGATATGACCCGGGCTTGGTGTGGGGGTTTCTGGGGCCAGTTTCACCATGAAGGTGGAATCATTGATTTTTTTTTGGTGACTGTCCACCCCAACCTCCATCCCCACCAGGCTTTGGAGACCCGGGCCAGCCCTGGCCACACCCCAGGCTGTGTCACCTTCGTCCTGAATGACCACAGCATGGCCTTCACTGGAGATGCCCTGCTCATCCGAGGCTGTGGGCGGACGGATTTCCAGCAAGGTCAACAGGTCCCTCTGTCCAGCTCTTTCTCTTAGCCTAGTTATGTGGGTACCAGGGTTTTAAGTTATCAGTTGCAAAAATGGATGAATGAATGAATGTTAGACTTACAGGGGGGTCAGGATTAGCTTTAAGGGGGTTAGCTGCTGAAGGGGGCAAGAGTTAAGATTTAGGAGGTTAGTCGCTGAGGGTTTAATTGTTAGGAACAGTTAGCTTCAGAAGTATATTAGTTA